CTCTTCCTCTTTCGTATCAAAGGGTCGACTTGCTCCTCCAAAGGTGTCTCGTCGTCGTCATCCCGAGCACCCGTATCCACAGCCTCCTCCGAGGTGTGTCCACCTTGTCACCTCGGGACTCGTTAAGTGCTTGAGAAGGACCCACCTCCTCGATCTTGCCTGCGAGAATATCACTAAGATCCGGAAGGTCCTTCATGTTCTTCTTATTCCATTTCCCTGATGAAGAAGAAGTCTCCTTGGAAAAGATAGGTAATCGGCCGCGACCTTTAACCTCGGCACACAAATCAGATCTCCAGTCGGCTAAAAAGACCAAAAAAAAAAACCTGAAGTTCTCAGTCCTGAGACAACGAGTATATCTAAGGAGATATATGGGTGATGGATGAGATGATACCTCAAGTTATACAAGGCTGCAACCAGTTGATCCGTGAGAACGAAACAGTCGTCCAACAAAGGAGGGTGGCACGCGCAAGTTTTCGGGCAACTTCGAGGAATTCCTCGGGATATTTCCTTGTGTTCGAATGCAAAACTGCAAAAACAAAAACAAAGACAAGAACAACGGATTAGATGCGGAACGAACACGAACCACGGCGAAGTATTCTACCAAAGCTCGGGTTCCACATGACCCTATAATTCTCGCCTGGGGGCTCTTCGAACGCGCTTTCGTCCGACCTAACGTAAAAGTACCAACGTTGCCAGTCTTCGGTCTTGTTTGGATGGCTGAGCAAGATGCCTAAACCAGATCGCATCGTCACAGAGAATAGGCCGTTCTTCATATTCGACACTGTCGAGAGCTCTTCAAAGACCCGAATACTCAACGACAAGTCCCTCACTGCGGCCAATACCATTAGACCCATCGCTATCGGAAACGAGCAATTGATAAACTGCGAAATTGATGCGTCCTGACGAGAGCAGTAAGCGGTGACCAATCGCGGTATCAGAAACCATATATTATTATTGGGGTATAGTAAGCTTGTAAATGCATTGATATATTATTGGGGGAGTCCATGGCCTCTGGTTAGTGTTCAGGATGATGAAGGTAACTCCCGAACCGCCTCGTTCCCTCAGAATTTTCTTGACAGTCACAACTGATGATCGGGTCGGGAGGACATTCTCCCAATCCTGTACGTCGACCACCAACGGACGAGAAAGTTCAGGACAAAGAGCCAGTAATTTTTCGAACAAACTTCCCGGGAAAAAGTGAATCAGAATCATCGGCTCATCGTTTGAAGGGAGCGAATTACCAAGCGAATCCCTTACTCGAGAGCCATTCGGACTCTCCCTGACCTCTGCATTCACAGATCGATCAACCAACAGGATTCTGGTGTCCTCTTCCCCTCGTCTCAGTCTCTCGGAGTCAACCATGACAAGTAGTTGTTGTGACAGATTTAGCCCTTCGAGATCTCGAAAAGCCTCATGATGTGCCAATTCAGACTCGATCACACGTCGAGTATCAGAAGTTCGCTTCTCAGTAGCTACTGAATTAGTTGTTATCGATTTACCTTTCTCCGCCGTTGTCAGAAGCCTACCCGAAGACATCAACAAAACTTTAACTAGAAGGCGACAAAGAGAGAGAAACTAGAGAGAGGTACCTGTGAGAAGCAAAGAAAACTGAACAAATGAGAAGGGGAACGAGTATTTATAATGAAAGGGGGGGACGTGTTTCGACGATGCAGTATCCATCATTAGGTCTACGAGGCCTATTGGACCTATTTGCCGCCCAACACGTGTAAACCGACCCGCGTCTTTTCTGCTTCCTGATGGAAACTGAGTTTCCACAAGCCGAAACAGACCATTTCCTGTCAGACTAAACAGGTTCCCCGGCAAGGGAAGCAGGTAGACAAGAACTTTTGGAACCGAGCTATTTATTCTCCCGACCGCTCGAACTCACTTCACCAAGCACTCGCAGCAGTCATAGTGAACTGGGGGGACTTATTGTAGGAAATGTATTTCATACTCTCCTCAAGGCCCATTGAATAAATGCTACGGCCCATCATCCAGCCCGCGTAGATGAGGAAGATTCTTTCCCGCAAGACGACAAGGAACTCGGTGCGAGCACACTTCACCAGTCCGTACCGAGTAAGGAGAGCCGGCTCGCCTAAAAGCCCACGAGACGAAGGACACGGCCCATTAGAGTTTTCCGTACATCGGCCTATAAAAGTGAAGGGAGACCAAACTTAGAGGGGATCCAAAAATAGACTGACTAGGCGACAGCTAAATTAGGATTTTCACTCATCTTGTTGCTCTTAGATCGGTCCGTACAACTACGATTAGCTTCCGAGCACCGTAGTTCACTTTGTATTCTCTCTTCCGATTATCAATAAAACTCTTTTTACTCTTATCTACTTGTTTACACCTTTGAAATAATCCACCGACGAGTTTTCGTCGATCATTTACCTGTTATCACCAAACTCGGTTCAAACACCTCTCCAACTTCGTGCACATTTGACGAGCTTTTACTTTTAGGGTTTATGTATTTTCGTGGATTCTAAACTGATATGACTAACTATCCTTGCATAGCAAGTTATAAAACGTGATTTTTGAACAGATTCAATTGGTTCCATTCACGAATATTTATTTATACTTACAGGCCTACACTCACGTTTGTTGACCTTGAAACGGAAGGTTACAATTCACGTGGAAATACTTAGACGATTAACTACTATATTGTTCCCAACTTCCCCCATAATTAAGTACTCATGCACGTACCTTCTAATTGATCTACTAATTAAGTAGTTAATGATATAATATTTTACATAAGAAATTATATTTTGAGCAACTAGCTAGTAGCTAGTTATTTAACCTCTTAAGGTTTTAATAGCTGATATGAAACATGACGTCTAATAATTAATTATACCAAAAATAACCTAAGAACAACGTCACATCCAGAATAACTAACGCATTGGAAAGAAGGGAAGAAATGTGATCTCACTGATCGACCCAATTGGAGTATTAGATTTGACGTTTCTCCCTATCTTTTTTTTTTTTTTTTAAGATTTGAGCGTCCCTATCCTTTTCGTTCCGACGTTTTAATTTCTTGGTTCCAGTCGGAAAGAAACTCTCTTTTCTGCACATTTGAAAAGTTAAGGTCCTTCCTAATTCCTATTTCAGTCTAGATTAAATGTAGCATTGGAAATCAATGGGTTCAATCTTAATAAATCAATCAATCCAAAAAAAAAAAAAAAATCGATCCAGGTAACTGGAAGAGAAAATGAAAAAAAAATGAACCTTAAAGATATGTTTGATTAAATTCCGATTCACATTTTAAATTATTAACTATTTATTGTAACATTTTAAACCACTAATTTTATTTTACGTTGTAGTCTTTATTTGAACACTTAAAAATCAATAGCACAAAAGTTGTAAGTTTAAATCAGTAGCTATATTATTTTTACATATAAAACTCCTATTTTATTCTACTCTATAGTCTTTTGGCACTTAAAAATCATTTAGCACAAATCTTTTTCTCACGCGAGGAATCACTATAGTAAAGCAATATCCAACGAAAACTGAACTAATGCCATATTCCACATTTCTTTACTTGAATTCAGATCACAAAATGAAGCAAAATATACTGAGCCAATGTAGCTCTGGGGTTGAGGTCTGCAAGAACATACTTCACTATGTTCGGGAAAGTACCTAACCACACTTTGATACGGTTTTATCTGATCTCCATCTACACAGAGGATCATTGGCCTGGAACGTGATTTAGAGCGTAATAACAGAAAATGGGCGAGAGAAGACGTATATCCCAGAGGCTAGAGGAGCATCATGGAGAAATCCATAACCATATGCCATTACGAAAACGCGTGTTCATATAAGGACAATAACTGCAGTATTTAGATATATATATCATCAAATGGAATTCCTTTTTTGGTATATTTTGATATTTACATATATGACAAAGGGTATGACCAATTTGGTTGCATGATCGAGTTCTTGTTGAGGCAAAGTAGTTGTTTTTATTTATTTCTTATTAGATTCCAAGAGTTAAAACTCAAAGCTACGACTATTAGGCAAAGACTATTAGGCGAGGACTATTAGGCAGTATCTAACGAAAACATAACTTCTTCTTAATTAAATAACATCACAATATTAATTTTGTAAAAAAAAAAAATCAAATTAGATTGTAAGTTATATTAATAAATCCAGATATTCGCTCTGAACTATAACTAAATTGAGAGCAACAAAACATATAATCAAAAACAAAAGTAGAAGCAAACAATTTGAACAATAATATATATATATATATATATATATATATATATATATATATTGCTCTCAAACAATTGGAGACTAAATGAATAGAGGTGGAATAAAGAGGTCCCACTTGAAAGACACAAAAATAATATTTGCTGTCAATTTTCTCCAAGTTTTTTTTTGGTTTCTATTGGAAAACCCTAAGCCTTTTTCACTCTGCACATTTGAAAAGTTTGTATCGTTTCTTCTTCTCTTATTTATGAAGAAAAACAATTGATAATTATTAAGCAGAAATCGGTTGGAAAGAATTAAAACAATATATCTCATATATTGACTCTCAATATGACTCGTTATCACTAGGTGAGAGCAAATACAAAAATTTAAGCAAAACATATAATCAGAAACTATAGTATAAAAAAAACATCAGAACAAATATCCTTCCTTGTGGAAAATAATAAAAGACAAAAACAGTTGGTAGTAAGTATTAAGATTTAGCAGTGGTCCATACTAAGAGAGTAATAAAGGCAGCGTCTGTTGTAGTAAAATCGTAGTTTCATTTTCGTAAAGAGAGAGCTGAGAAAGGATCCAGAGAAGAGTAGAAGCGAGAGAGGGAGAAAGAAGAAGATAAGAAGGTATACAGTTGTTCTCTCTCTCTCTCTCTCTCTCTCTCTCTCCATTTCTATCGTTATGCTCAAAGCTCCCATAGGAGCTAGTGAGTGTTAGTTTTAGGGCTGAGTTTCTAGGGCTTCGTTTTTAGGAATCTTTTTCCTCTTCTGCTCTAATGGAACGTTTGCAGGGATCAAATGGAGGTAGAGAGAGATGATTCAAGCTCTGATAAAGGTGTAGGAGCTGGATCCAAATATAAAAAGAAGTGCTCAGCTCCTTCTTCTTCTTCTTCTTCCAAGAAGTCTGTCTCAAAATCTAGCCAGAAGGTATCCAGACATATCCATACCTTCATGATTAAGGCTTCATCTTAAAGATCGACTTATGTTTTACTAACTTATTTAACTACTTTTTTCAGGCCCTTACCAAAACTGACGAAAACTGGCCAAAGGTACATTTGATTTTATTTAGATTTGTATGAACAAACATTTTAATTATGTCAATCAATCTCACTTTTCAAATCATCTGTTTGCCATTGTATGTAGGATATACCATCAGACTGTGAGTTTTGTCTGATGGATTGCGGTGACAAACTCAGAGCTGCCATGCATCAAGGACAATTTCGTAATTATTATCTATATGTATTATGTTTTCACTAGTGCTAAAATATGCTTTTTCTTTCATTAGTCTTATTATGTTTGCTTCCTTGTCTTAGATATATGTTGGGCTATTGCACATGCAAGATGTATCGAAGCATGGATCCATATTAAATATGGTATCGTCGTCCACTTGTCACCACAACATTTGGTTAATAACATTAGGAACAAGTGCAAAAAAACAGGAGAGGTGCATAAATATAATGAAATCAGAGAGTTCTTAGTGACTAATGGTCTTGTTCTTGAGGAAACTTGCCCATTTTCGGGGGAAATTACTGCAAATTGTCCCAAAAGTTGCCAAAAAAGTGTAAGTATTTATTTTTGAAAGCTTTGTTTCTGTTTTCTCTTGTTTGTTTCTTTCTTAATATTTAAACTATTTTTGAAGGCTGGCACTACATACAAAATCAAGAGCTTAAAGTATATGAAAAGCAAAGAAGTGAATGAAGAAGAATTGATCAAGATTGTCAGCAAAGGTCCTATACTCGCTGTGGTAGATGCTTTTGAAAGTTTTAATGCCTACAAAGATGTAAGACAATTTCTAGCCCATACACTTCATTTCTTTTAAGCAAATAAAGTTGATCCCATATAGTTTATATTTGAAAATGATAGGGAATCTACAAAGGTCAGAGGAATCAGGCAGATACATGGTATGGTCGCCATGTGATCCTTGTGAGAGGTTTTGACACAACTTTAGATGGTGTCAACTACTGGAAAATTCAGAACTCATGGGGAACTGAGTGGGGACAAAACGGAAATGGAATGATGATAAGAAAGAGCAGCCAAGAAGGCAACAAACCCTCTCTCTTTCTCAAAGTTATCCAGCTGGAGGTATGTATTTGAAACGATCGACGCATGTTGTTAATTTACTCTTTATTGGCCTAGCTGTTCGGTTTTTTTAACTCCGATCGATCTTCGTTTCTAGGTTTAACTTAAAATTTGTGTGGATATGACATGTCTAATCTAAAAAAAAAATGGTAAGTCTTCATGAGATCTTATTTCATTTGTTTAAATCTTGAGTTGGGACTTTGTAGACTGATACTGAGAGTTGGATAAACTTTTGAGCAGGTTAGAAGCAAAGAAGGGTGTCAATGGAGTTTGATCGTGTGGACCGTCGTCTCTCCTTGTTTTTGTTTACAATGCATGTGAAACAACTCTTTTATTATATATGTGTGTGTGTGCATGTTTGATACCAAATATAAACGGAGTATGGCTAGTTTTTGTTTAAAATTAAAAAAAGTCACGAGTTAGTGAACTTTTGATAGTTGGTGTATTCAAAACTTAAGTGCTTTACCCACCTCAACTAACATAATTATAGCAAATTAGTTTATATAAAAAAAATTACAAGAAGACTTTTATAATTGGATCAAAGCTGTGTTAAATATTAATCCTTCTGTTTGCGCCACTGCAACAAAATAAGGCAGAAATCATCAAGACGTTGCTTTGAGCAATCATGAAAATGTAACCGAAAATCATCAATATACCATCTCCATTAATTGGGATCATACGTACTGTTATGCTTATGCATCGGAATCTCTCTTCATCAACGCAAACTACATAGAGAAAAAAAACGTATCTCTCACTCTTGTTAACGTTTTCAGTTAACCTAATATTGAATGGGTATAGTCAGTCAGTAATCGCCAAGACTTTGCATTATTTCTTTCTCATGTGGATTCCGGATGCAACAGTTTTTCAGTTCCTCTCATTTGTATGGAACTCCAAGCTATTGAATCCAACAGTTGTTGACAGAGTCAAGTGGAGCAGCTCTTCTCAAATCTGCTATTCTAAGAACTCCAAAGCTATTAATATTGGTTCTAAGAACATCGCCATGGTTTTGACTTTTTAGCTAGTGATTGACGACTGTTCCAAAATATATTTCAAAGTAGAGATAACTACTAAATTAACCATATAACTTAGGTTATGCAATACAAGTAAACATCAACAACAAACAATAGCCGAAGGAAAAAATGTATCAAAAGAAGCTGGGAACTCCTTTTTTTTTTATTCCCTTTGAGCTAGCAGTTTCAGAGGTAGGATATCCAGACAATACATAGGTATCAGAAACAAACAATTCTTCAATCTTCAATCTTTTGGTTTGCAAGAGATTACTTCAATATCTCCAGGAAGGTAGCGAACCACTGCTCGATAGGGTTTAATCTGATTACCATCTGAAGGATCATTGACTTGGAATGAGATGTAGAATGTCACTCCACAAGATGGATGAAAGTTGGCAATCAAAATCTTGCCCAGCTCCAAGCTCGTTCCCTACCACACCAAAAGAAAAAAACATGTTGTTAACCAGAGAGGGAGCAGACAAAACACACACCAAAAAGAAAAAGAAAAAGAAAAGCCTTACTCTTTTTTCGTTGTGCTGGTTGAGAGCAAGGTTCGCCAACTTAGCGATGAAATGTCTGTTGGTTTCAGGCTCACTAGACAATGAAACAGCATCCAGATCAAATGGTCTCCAACCAAAACAGTAGCGAAATTTCTTGAAGTCGATTTCAAATCCCTACAAATCACACCTAGTTATCAATTTCGGAAAATTAACAAGGAACTCACAAAAAAAAAAAAAAAAAACAAACAAACCCCGCCGCTCCTATCCAACTCTTGGTCGAACAACTGAATTTCCTCGTCGGTGCAATCGTCGGAATCAAAATCCTCCGGACGGCCATCATACCAGTTGGTTTCCTCCTCCGTATTCTGACGCTTTGGTGAATCGGATCTTTCCATCCCTAGATCGGCAACAATCGAGACAAAGTATCGATGCGAGTAAAAGAACCCTAGTTTTCTTCTTATGATTCTTTTATATATATAATAAAACCAAATATCTTAAAAGGAAAAAGACAGGTAGAAATCCTTGGGTCCGTTTTCTTTTGCACGTGTCTAAACTGCTTTGTGGCACACTGTTCCCCTAAGAGAAAGAAAGACACATTAAACAAATAAATTCAACCATCTTAAATTATTTTTGAAGGTTACTCCTGCATACAAAATAAAGGACTTAAAGTATATGAATAGCAAAGAAGTGAATGAAGAAGAATTGATCAAGCTTGTCATAAAAGGTCCTGTACTTGCTGTGGTAGATGCTTACAAAAGCTTTTTAGACTACAAAGATGTAAGATGAACGTGTAGCTCATACACTTAATTTTAAGCAAATACAATTGTGAAAATGATAGGGAATCTACAAAGGCCAGAGAAATCGCAAAGATATGTGTGGTGGTCGCCATCTAGTCATTGTGAGTGGTTTCAACACCACATTAGATGGCGTCAACTACTGGATTATTCAAAATTCTTGGGGAATAGAATGGGGACAAAACGGAATTGGAATGATGATAAGAAAGAGTAGTCAAGAAGGCAACAAACCCTCTCTCTTTCTCAATGTTATCCAGGTGGAGGTACGTATTTGAAACGATACATGTTAATGTACTCTTATTGGTCTAGTTGTTAGTAACTGATTTTAACGTTGATCTTCCTCTCTAGGTTTAACGTGCAACTTGTTACGGAGACTACAGGTATGCTCTCAAAATTTGTTAGTCTCGATGAGATCTCATTGCATTTGTTTGCATCTTGTGTTGGGACTTTGTTGACTTTGTTGACTGATACTCAAAATTTGTTAGTCTCGATGATATTGATCATGGACCGTACGTGTCTATTGTTTTACAATGCATGTGAATCTACTTATTTTTCTATCCGATTTGTGTGGATGTTTGATACCAAAACTGAACGGAGAGGCTAGTTTATTTTTAAAGTCACAAGTTAGTGAACTTTTGATATTTGGTGGTGTATTCAAAACTTCAATCACTACAAGAAACACGCGTCAACTCCGACGAATGTTTCCGAGAAAGTGAGTTCTCAGTAATTTAGCTTCATCTTTGTGAGGAATTGCCGAGAAACTATTGGTTTTGTCGGAAACTTCTCAAAAATTTCCGATGAACCGTAATTGTCGGAATTTTGAAGGAATAAATTGTCGGAAACTTATCACGATTAATAATCTATTC